CAGTTTGAAATATGTATCTATGATTTTTTCACGGTTCAATGATGTTCTGTTGCTATGTGAAGAGGTGAATAGGTGAATATTGGCGATGCTATGTGCTGTTCAAGGTTTTTTTTCTTAAGATTTTTTTATTTCTTCAAAACTGTTGAGGAGGCTCGCCTGCGATATAAATAATACTGGGAACTGGACTGGTACGGAAATCTCCTATGGAAAGTCTGATTCCTTCATTATGAATAGGCTCAATAGTGCACAAGATGTTAGAGTTGGCTGAGTAGTAGATTAATGAACTATAGTCGATTTTGGRTAAGATGAGCGATTTGTGTATGGTGAGAAGGCTGTTCTTTTCTGAGCCCCATGTATTGTGAGACAACGTTTTGGCATTAGATTATTGTGGCATAAGAAATTAAATATCCTATCTATTTTTGGTTGGTATAGTAGTATCACCACTACTTTAAAGTTTGTTTATGACTGTGTGGCAACATGAATAGATATTTTACATTGTACAATATATTTTGAACAGTTGTTTTGAAACATTTAAAATTATTTAATAAATACAATATACTCTAGAAGTCTGTTAGAGTAACATAATCAGTAACCATTAATCATTAACTTGAAAAWAAATTGAGTACATATAATATGATATTTCAAACCTTCAAAAGGAGTGCTGTRGTGGACATAAAAGTTTGGCATGAATTTTACTTAAACTCATCAGAAATTATTCACCAGATGATAAGTTTAATGTGGAAGAATAGGCTTAATTTTCAAATAGTCGCCTTAAAAAGAATTTATTTTTAACTATTAATTAGGCAAAAAACAAAGTTATTCATTAGTTATGAGCAAATATGGCTGGTACAAAAAATTATTATGGCTATTTTTGATTGATAGATAGAAAAAAATACAAAGTAAAACCATTAGCATAATATAATGAAAATAAAAACCTTAGATAAAAACTGAACATTTTAAATTGTGGTTGATAAAAATATATAAAAAAAATGGTTTGAGACAACTTACTTTTTGGAAACAATAATTAAGCACTTCAAATTACAATATTATGATGATATTAATATGCTATTAACTAACTAACTTAAAGCATTAGTCAAATAATGTGTATTTAACAATTTTAATATTTGTAAATTATTCACAAGTTTTTTTGGTATGGAACTTCAAGTTAACCAAAATTAATTAATGTTAACTTAATTAAATGTCATTTTTTTGTGATTATATAAGGTGATTCTTTTATCAAACAACACTCATTATTTAAAAAAGTATTGACTTTTTTCAAAATATATTTTTACATAGTTTCAAGTTGTTAAAATCCAACGGTTTTATTAAAAAATTATATTTTTTATCCTCCTATTTTTTATCATTTTATCATTTTTTACTTTTTTGAATGGCAACATAGTTTTTTAATTTCATATTTTAAAGCAGAATATTTTTCTAAATATTTTGATACATAAAAATTGAATTTAGGATGATTAGTTTATGAGTTATAAGTATTTTAAGTTTAGACAAGCGGAGTAGTGGACAAACATTTTGTGGGGTCACCCCGTACCACTCCACTCTGCCAATCTAAACTTTAAATACCTACAACTCATAAAATACTAGCGCTAAATTCGAAATTTTAACGTAATAATTAATAAAAAAATAGCTTTATTAATTTATGAAATTTTAAGTATAGGTTACCATTTGAAAATCAAAAGTTGATAGTGGTTTATCTAATAAATATAAGGGTGAAAAATATAAAAAAAATAAACATTTCAAGAAGAGTGTAAATCTACAATTTTTAAATAATGAGTTTTATTTGATAAAATAATCACCCTGTATAGCTAAAACATTTAAGATTTTAAATTTTTAAATATAATAAATATTATTTAAGTAAGCTGTACCTGTTTTCAATTTTTCTATTCCACTCGTAACTTGTTCAACCTTGATTAAAGAAAATAAATAAATATTTTAAAATTATATTAAATTCAGAAATATATTTCTTACATTTTGTGATCTAAATTGTTGTCGTGGATTGAATTGGTTTGGTATATTTGGCCGTGGCGTTGATGGCGGTGCCTGCGTTGTTTGAAATTGTTGTGGCTGTCCTTGATTAAAGGRAGCTACTCGTGGTTGTCCTTGATAAGAGGGAGTTCTTTGTGGTTGTCCTCGATTACGAGGAGCTCCTTGAGATAGTCCTTGATGAGGGGGAGGTGCTTGTGGTTGTCCTCGATTAAGACGAGGTCCTCGAGATTGTCCTTGATTAGGGGGTGGTACTTGTGATTGCCCACGAGCCCGGCCTCTAGGATGCCTTGGTGGATTAGGATCCATAGATAATCTTTTAAACTATTTATAAACATAACATTTTCATAACATAAAAATGTAATACAATTCTGAAGATAATTAAAGATTCTTTTCTTAACATTTAATAATTC